GTTCTTAGAGTTTGTTGAAATGTTTCCAACTATGTCATGTCTTCTTCTCAAATGAAGTAATCCCTGAAATACTTAGCTGTAATCTAATCACAGAGCTTAATAAAAACAACCTTGCATGATTCTGGTTAAGTTTGAATTTTTTCAAGTTGAAGTCTTGATTATGGTGAATTATTCTCCCTGTCGCCCTAAATCAGTGTTAGTTTGAGCATAAAGATGCATTTAAAAATAAAAGTCTAGCCTACTTAATCTCAAATGGATAAAGAAACATTTCCCAGAGGAACTGTTGAAATTAATAGCAAACATTTGCGATAGATTGTCTCCATCCTTCAGCAAGCATTTATTGGGTTCCTACAAAGTTATGGGATTAAAACACATAGAATTCTATGTTAGGTGTTATAGAAAACAGGTGAATAGTGGATGGTCCATGATCTCAATTTAGTGGAGAACAAAAATACTATCAAAAAGGAAGGAAAAAAGGAAGGGAGAAAGGGAAGGTGGATGAGGGTGTAACAGGAAGGGAGAGGAGGGAGGGAGAAAGGAAAAGGAAGAAAGAAATGAATGGAGCTTATAATGGAAATGAGAATTCTAAGAACCATAAGAGTGCTTTAATGTGCCAAAGGGGTAGCCATGACCTCTAACTGCAGGAATTGAGTCTGGCCTCATGAAGAAAATTTGACTGGATATGAACCTTAATTGATGATTGATTTGTAGTGAAAAAGGGGGAAAGAGGTCCCACAACATAGTCTCTCAAGACAGGTTCCATAGGAAAAAGTTTTTGAAAAATTCTATAAACGTAATATCCCCTCTAATAGTTACAAATTGAACACTGTCATAGTCCAGGTTCTGAAAAGCCTTTAAAAACTAATACATTTTCACCCAAATTTATTTAACCAGAGAACTTGCCTTTACCCTACCCTCATTTAATACCAATTAACACTAAGAAACCCATGCTGGAAGATGCTGTTCTATGCAACAAGTGTTCTGTGTGTTCTGAGGAGATATCTGGGGACCAAGGGGGAGCAGCTGAAATAACATCCTCTGTATAAAACTGGACCATACTTACATATTTATTCTCTCATATAAAGAGCTTCTGCATATGCTCCCATGTAAGAAACAAAATCATTTAATTTTTGGTGTATTACTGTGCATATTCTAAAATATTCTTGGTTCAACAGCTTAAAACTCAAGCCTAGTAATTTTTAGGATAACATTACATAAATAATTAAGTTTATCATTTTAACAGTCATAGGTACTTCAGGTACACTATTATTAGGACATTATAATAGCTGCCTCAGTAGAGTGTACCAATGTGTGAATGAATAAAATTCATGAGCTTCCAGTCCTAAAACAATTTCAACTTCGAATACAAAATTTCTCAAAATTGTGTGGACCTATAAGATTTGCAATCTTGACTATTTTGTAATTTTGGGACATAATTACCACTTTGAAAACTGGAGGAATAGAGTCTTAGGGAGACCTGAAAGATCTTCAGACATTGAGAGGGGAAAATATCCAAATACAGAGGATGGTTATGTTTTCTGAATACCAGACAGTGTCTACATTTTTAAAAGATCTGTTTAAAACCATGCATAAATTAATAGGCAGACAAGTTAATATTGTAATGGCATCACATCAGAACATTTTTTTTAAATGTATAACAAAGAGGGCTGAACACAGAATAAGACAAAAGCCAGAAGCAAGTTTAAATATTTGAAAAGTTAACATTCACTGTATAAATAAGACATTACAGGATTAAACAGAAAATATCTGTTTTATATTGGCTCATTCTGAGCCTGCAGACATTATTTGTATTCCCTTTCCCCCCAATTTATAAAGCCACACTAGCAATAATTCTTAAAACCTTAAAAAAGATAAAAGGTATCTTATGAGTCCATGTGCTACAGAAAATACAAAAATATATATTGTCCTCAATATCCACATGGTAAAAAGCATTTTTTGTTTTCAGGAATATCAGACTGTCACAGAACTTGGAGTAATTGTTCATTAAGAGGCAATCAGCCCAGCCACATGGCTCAGTGGTTGAGCAACAACCCATGAACCAGGAGGTCAGGGCACATGTCCAGGTTGCAGGCTCAATCCCCAGTAGGGGCAGTGCAGGAGTCAGTCGATCAATTATTCTCTCTCATCATTGATGTTTCTCTCTCTCCCTCTCCTTTCCTAGCTCTGAAATCAATAAAAAATGTATTTTTTTTAAAAAAAGAGGCAATATCAGGACTTAGACATGGATTCTTAAGTGTCCAATGTCCTTTCTCCCTTCCTATGTTTTAGGATACATACTTCTAGATTTATTTTAAAACAGCCTTGGAGAAATAGGACATCAAAGAAATACAAAGGATTGCAAGAAAATATTATGAACAACTATATGCCCACAAATTGAACAATCTGGACAAAATGAACAAATTTCTGGAAACATAATCTTCAAAAACTGAATCAGGAAGAATGAGAAAATCTGAATAGATAGATTACAACTAATGAAATCGAAGCAGTAATAAAAAAAAAAAAATCCCAACAAACAAAAGACCTAGGTCACATGGCTCACAGAAGAATTTTACCAAAAATTCAAAGAACTAACACCTATTCTTCTAAAACTATTCAAAAAAATTCAAGAGGGAAGACTCCCACGCTCATTTTATGAGGCCAGTATTATCCTAATCCCAAAACCAGATAAAGACACTATAAAGCAGGGGTCCTCAAACTACGGCCCGCGGGCCACATGCAAATACAAATATTGTATTTGTTCCCATTTTGTTTTTTTTTTACTTCAAAATAAGATATGTGCAATGTGCATAGGAATTTTTTCATAGTTTTTTTTTTTAAACTATGTTCCGGCCCTCCAACGGTCTGAGGGACAGTGAACTGGCCCCCTGTTTAAAAAGTTTGAGGACCCCTGCTATAAAGAAAGAATATTATAGGCCAATATCCCTGATAAACATACTTGTAGATGCTAAAATCCTCAATATAATATTACCAAACCAGATACAGCAATATATTAAACAGATCATACAACATGATCAAGTGGTATTTATTCTGAGGATGCAAGGTTGGTACAATATTTGCAATCAATAAATGTGCTATACCACATGAACAAAATAAAGGATAAAAAATTATATGAGCATTATCAATAGATACAGAAAAAGCATTTGATAAAATCTAGCACCCATTTATGATAAAAAGTCTCAGCAAAGTGGCAATAGAGGGAACATACCTCAATATAATAAAGGCCATATATGACAAACCCACAGCCAACATCATACTCAATGGACAAAAATTACAAGTGTTTCCCTTTAAGATCAGGAACATTTTCCTCTTTCAGCATAGTACTGGAAGTCCTAGCAGCAGGGATCAGGCAAGAAGAAAAAGTAAAAGGCATCCAAATGGGAGAGGAAGGAAAATTGTCATTGTTTGCAGATGACATGTTACTGTATATAGACAACCCTAAAGATTCCACCACAGAAACACTACTAGAACTGATAAATGAAGTTGGCAATGTAGCAGGATACAAAATTAACACCCAGAAATGGATGACATTTCTCTACACCAATAATGAACTATCAGAAAGGAACTAAGAAAACAATCCCATTTACAATCGCATCAAAAAAATAAAATACCATCCTGGCTGGTGGTGTTCAGTGATTAGAGCATCAGCCCACACATCAAAGGGTCATGGGTTTGGTTTTTGGTCAAAGGCACGTACCTAGCTTGTGGGTTCAATCCCTGGCCCCGATCCGGGTGCATGCAGGAGGCAACCAGTCAATGTGATTCTTACATCAATATTTCCCTATCTATCTATCTATCTCCATCCCTCCTTCCCTTATAGTCTCTCTGAAAAGCACCAGGGGCGGGGGGGGGGGGGGGGGGGAGCCTCAGGTGAGGATTAACAACAAATAAAATGCCTAGGAATTAAATTTAACCAGGGATGCAAAGACTTGTACTCAGAAAATTATAAGACACTGAAGAAAGAAATTGAAGATGCAAATATATGGAAGCATATACCATGTTGATGAATAGGAAGAATTAACATTATTAAAATGTCCATACTACCCAAAGCACTCTATAGAATCAATGCAATTCCTATCAAGATACCAATGGCACATTTCACAGAACTAGAATATTCAAAATATTTATATAAAACCACAAAGGACCCCAAATAGCCACAGCAATCTTAAGAAACAAGAACAAAGTTGGAGAAATCACACTACCCGATTTCTAATTATACTACAAGGCCACAGTAATCAAAACAGCATGGTACTCGCCTAAAAACACTCATATAGATCAATGGAACAGAATGGAGAGACCAGAAATAAACAACTTTATGGTCAATTGATATTTGACAAAGGAGGCAAGAGTATACAATGGAGTAAAGATAGTTGATAAAACAAACGGTGTTGAAAAAGTTGGACAGATATGTGCAAAAAAATGAAACCAGATGTTAGACTCAACACCATAAAAATCCTAGAAGAAAACATAGGCAGTAAAATCTCAACATTCCTAGTAGTGCTGTTTTTCCTGATATATCTCCTCGAGCAAGGGAAACGAGAAGAAATAAACAAATGGGACTGCATTAAAGTAAAAAGTTTTTGTACAGCAAAGGAAACCATCAACAAAATGAAACAACCACTCACTAAATGGGAGAACACATTCACCAATGATACAGCTGATAAGGTGTTCATACCCAAAATTAAGAACTATGTACAGATGATGCATTATTGAATTGTATACCTTAAATCTATAAAATTTTATTAACCAATGTCACCCCAATAAATTCAATAAAAAAAATTTTTTTTTCAAAAATTAAGGAGAAATGGATATGATAGCTAAATTCTGTGCCTACCAAAATTCAGTGACTGCCAGGTGGCATGGAAGCCTGCTCTTGTGACATGCTGGGC